TATCTCAATTTTTACTCGAGTTATCGTGTGCACAGACGGACGGACGGACGGACGGACGGACGGACGGACGGACAGACAGTCACCGCTTAATCGATTTCTCTTTTCATTCTGATCATTTATGTATACATTTGTCTATATCTATCTCGATTCGTTTTGCCTGTTACAAACAACCGTTATGTGAACAAAGTTATAATACCCTTGTGCACAAGTGCGCTCGGGTATAAAAATCTGAAATAACTGTTATTTAAGGAGCAATTAAATAAAAGTCAAAAAAGTAACTGTTATAGCGCGATTTTTTTAAGAAAAGTTGTAACTGTAACGTTCCCTGGTTTAAAAGCCGATATAGTATATTCCTTAATTTCAAGTGGTCCCATCTCCAAATCATTGAGACCAAAGAGTGAATCGCCGCATCAATGGATCTACCCCTAAGTAGTTGTACTGAGCTAGATGCGATGTTTTATTTAGTTATAGTCATTGAGATTAGAAATAAAAGTGCCGTTTTTATTTGGAGGATGACGAGGTGAAACCATCCCTCGTCCAATTTACTTTGGGGACGACTGACAAGGTACCTATTTCGAAATATAAAATAAGATAATAAGGTTTTGATAACTATCTAAAATTTAATTTAACTTTGATATCGACTAAGGTAAATTGCTCAAATTGTATTGCCACTTTTCATTTCGTAGTCGATTTTTTGACAAGTGGTTCATATTTAACCGACCAAAAAACTTTTCGGTAACTCTTAATTTTTATCAGAATAGTGACACCACCGGGGGGGGTTCCATACTAATTTGAGTTAGTTGGATCATGACTAAACTAACGGTCAATTTTAATATAAGCATTAATTTTTTCATTAAAGTCTAACTCATTATATAACTCGTGATGTTTAATAGCCCATTAACTTCTAGTATAATAAAGTGCAAGTTGTAGGCTGCTAAATAATAAATCGTGTTGATTATTTTAGTAATTTGTTTGCTGACTGTACTACTCTTTTTTTACATAAAAAGTAAATTCAAACATTTTTACGAAGTTGAAAATTTCAGACGAAACTTTGCAGATTCTTAAAAATTTTTACACAAAGTTTGAAATGTGGGTTTATATGATGAATTAGGCTTTTATAAACAAAATAAATAAATATTAAATAAACAAAAGAAAAATAGAAAAAAGTAATTTTTAAGCAAAAAAAAAACACCGACTTCAAACTTCATATAAAAATTTAAGAGTATCGTTAATTTCTTCATGATCCAGTGATCGGATCTAAACCTGTTAGAACCTTCTCCTTTTCTTGAAGTCGGTTAAAAACGGATCAAAACGTTGCTGGCTTAATTAGCTGATCGCAAGTGTAGGTTGCAAAAGAATAGAGTTATTAATTTTATTTGAAGTTGAACTATCGAGTTCGATGTTAATATAGCTACGGCTAAAATTCGTACGTATGTATGTATGTTCATATGTGTGTCTGTATATGTATATATTCTATAAAATTATACACATAATTATTTTGATCAAATGATTTTAAATTGTTTAGTACTACGATTAAAACATTATTCAATGAAGTTTATTTAAAAAGAGAGACGCGCGATCTAATACGGGTATGCACCTATTTATTTATGTTTATGTACTCTAAAATAGTTAGATATCCTACATATTCAATAAAACTTTTATTGTTTTGAAATATTTTATTAAAAAACTTTGTTGCAGTTTTGTGAAACGAATAAACTACTATAAAACTCGCTAAAATGTTCATTATATGACAATTATTTACAAACGTAGACATATTTATGTTCACACTTGTATATGAAAATATTCTCCGTCATATAATGCTAATAAAAAACAGTGTGTATGGTTGATTATTTATGTAATGCTAGTATATACGTAGAGTATCTTAATTATTAAGCTAAATAAACTTATGCGCAGAACTAACAATACTAAAATAACTAAGAAAGTAGAGAAAAAATTGGTTTGCATTTACCTTTTGGCGTTTCAATCTGCTCCGACCTCGAATTTCTCGATGATGTCGGACTAATACTACCCATTCGTATGCCCGAGGCACCGAATTGCATCTGCAGTGCTGGATCCATAGCATAGCCGGCAGCTTGTTGCCGACGCAATGTTTCCTCTATCAAAGCTAAGGGGCTACGTGTTGGTTTCGGTGAACCCGGACTGGCGGCCAATAGACGATCCTGTTCCGTAGTAAACATTGGCAATGCAACTGAATCGGACAAACTGGAATCGGTTGTATCAATGAAACTAACATCAAACTCATTAACACAGCGTTGATCTGTTGATGGTGGGCGTATTATCGATGTTGTATCTATATCAGTGTCCGGTTGACGATAAATCACTTCGAATGGTTTATCCTGCCCAAATGTCTTAGTAAAAACTTCACTTGTTAACACTTTTCTGCTGCCAGAAGATGAGGTAGAACTTTTTGTACTCTCTGTAGATCTAAATGACCGTGTAATTTCTGCATCATCATCAAATATAACTGTGCTGACAATGGCAGTGGTCGCTACAGGCTCTTGGTGAACTTTAACCACTGTGGTGCGAGCGGGTACGGCTGGCATTTTGGAAATTTTCGATGTAGTCGCTATGGAATTGTGGTGTCCTGTAGAGGTGGTAGTTGCAGACTTATCTGCTAATCTCAAATTTGCCACTTCTTTATCCAATTTTTTTATATTTGTAGTGGCGCGTGTATATCTTCGTACGCTACTGAGCGAGCCGCTGGCACTGGTATTGCCACTACCAGTCATGCTGGACTCATTTATTGAATCCTTCAACTTCTTTTGTACTTTTACATCACTCTTCTTGGTTTGTGTAGTTCTTCGCTTCGTTTGTTCAGTTTTAGTTGTAACAGTAGCTGTCATATCCTTATTGTCTTTGCGAGTTTTAACATCCGTTATTTTACTATCACTTCTAGTGGTATTAACTTTTTTTCTAGTACCTACATTGGAAGATACGCTGATGGGAACTTTCGATCGCTGTTGTGTTTTCTCAGTGCGGTTTATGAGCTTTTTCTCTTCTGAGCTGTCCCGAGTAACACTCCTGGGTGTTCTTGCGGTTCTCGCTTCCTTTGCTCTGTCAATTTTGTGCTTTAATTTACTTTGATTTGTCTTATTCAATACATTACTCATTTCCTTACTTGTTTTGGGAGGCATTTCTTTTACAGTTATTTGTTCGCTATGTGCTATCACAGCTTTAGTTTTAGTTTTCTCTACATTAGTTTTTCTATGATACAGTTTTTCAGTGCTTTTTATCGATTCCTTACTATTAGATAGTGAGTCTTTCTTTAAATTCGTCAAACTACTTTTAAAATTGAATACTTTCTCTTCTTTGGATAGGTTGCGTACATAGCGTCTTGGTGCATCAGTATTAGTAGTAGTTGTAGTAGTTGTATACTGCTTACCTTTTGGTTGCGTCGACGGTGGTACAGGTGATCTTGCTGTCAACGGTGTGGCTATGTCGGTTAACATCTGTGTGGTTTGTGTATTTCCATATCGTAGGCTGTGCGCCAGTGTTGGCTGCATGTATCTGTGCATTACAGTTGAGGTAGGTGTAATCAAACGCTTTCGTTGAGCATCTTCACTGCCGGAATCGGAAGATTTGGTGATTGTCTTTGTTTTGGTTTTCTTAGGGGTAGCCTTCTTTTCAGATTTTTTGGTTTGCGCGTACACGCTAGTGACATGAGAATAGTCGGGTTTTGGTCGGCTGGTTGTCGGACTGAATGTTCTTAGTGTGGCATTGTATGGTATTGCTGTTACATCAGTGCGTATTCTGGGTCTGGGTGTGGTTGCGCGACTGTTCGAATTGTCTTCACTTAAGCCAACATTGACCGTAGTTGAACGCGGACTTATAGATCTCTCTGACCGTGCCTCGGACGATAGACGGCTATGTAAACTTTTAGTGGATGAAACTTTTGACACTTCATCTTTGTCAGGCAATTGCTTTTTCTGTTTGATTGACGCTGGTACTGTAGGCTTAACACTAGGAAGTTTTCTTTTCGGCTCGGTGCTTGGAGATGAGGTACGTACTTTTCCAGCAGCTGCATACTGAATCTGTGATTTTGTTTGTGTCTGCTTCAAAGTGGACTTGGCTTGTGTTTTTGTAGAAGATAAGTGAGACTTTCTAGCCTCCCTAGTGTCTTGTTTCTTCTCTAACACTTTTTTAATATCCCTACCTGCAGGCCCAACCTTTCTCGTACCTTCATTCAAATTAACAAAGTAAGCAACAGCTCTTTCATTCCGCTTATCAGGTGGTGGTAAACTGGGTCTTTCTAAACTGTCTAAGCTACTACAAGAGTCTAATATGTCACGACTTTGTGAAATACTAGTGGATAACTCACCACGTTCAGCATCAGAACGCGGCCCTTCGCTTGTAGTCTGTTCTGCTAAAAGCTGAGGAACACCACTAGAAACGCCAGAAACATAAGCTGAACTTACATCTTGCTCTTCGGCCAATATAGTGTCATCGCCGGTAAAATCAAAAGGTTTAGCCGTATCATCAATTTCGTCTGGAATAAGCTTTTCTTCTGACTTTGCGACCGATGATAGTAGAGGCACAGCTTCTTTGTCGAATTCTTCGTCAAACTCCTCAGAAGAGTATTTTTGCGGAATAGGCTTTATTACGTCATGTGGAGATTTCGGTTTGTCGTCTGGTTTCGAAATGGGTTCTACAGGCTTTCTACCGTTCTCAACTGTTTTGGAAGCCGATGGAATCAAGGGCACAATTTGTTTGTCATCAGTAATTTTAGGTTTGTCGAATTCATCGTCAGATTCATCAGAAGAGTATGTTTGTGGGATACTCTTCGTTAAGTCAAGTGGAGATTTGGGTTTGTCGTCTAGTTTCGAAATCGGTTCTAATGGCTTAGCACCTTTGTATTCTGGTTTGGCAGCCAATGGAATCAAGGACACATATGGTTGGACATCAGGAATTTTAGGTTGGTCGAATTCTTCGTCATATTCATCAGAAGAGTACATTTGTGGTATAGGCTTCGTTACTTCAAGTGGAGATCTGAGTTTGTCGTCTGGTTTCGAAATCGGTTCTAATGTTTGTTGAATAGGCTTCGTTATGGCAAGTAGAGATTTGGGTTTGTCGTCTGGTTTCGAAATCGGTTCTACAGCCTTAGTACCTTTGTTTTCTGATTTGGCAGCCAATGGATCCAAGGGCACACCTGGTTTGACATCAACCATTTTAGGTTTGTCGAATTCGTCGTCAGATTCATCAGAAGAGTACATTTGTGGTACAGGCTTCGTTACTTCAAGTAGAGATCTGAGTTTGTCGTCTGGTTTCGAAATCGGTTCTAATGGCTTAGCACCTTTATCTTCTGGTTTGGCAGCCAATGGAACCAAGGACACACCTGGTGTGAAACCAGCCATATTAGGTTTGTCGAATTCTTCGTCAGATTTATCAGAAGAGTATGTTTGTGGAATTGGCTTCGTTACGTCAAGTGGAGATTTGGGTTTGTCGTCTGGTTTCGAAATCGGTTCTACAGCCTTAGCACCTTTGTCTTCTGGTTTGGCAGCCAATGGAACCAAGAACACACCTGGTTTGACATCAGCCATTTTAGGATGGTCGAATTCTTCGTCAGATTCATAAGAAGAGAACCTTTGTGGAATAGGCTTCGTTTTGTCAATTAGAGATTTGGGTTTGTCGTCTGGTTTCGAAATCGGTTCTACAGCCTTAGCACCTTTGTCTTCTGGTTTGGCAGCCAATGGAACCAAGGGTACACCTGGTTTGACACCAGCCATTTTAGGTTGGTCGAATTCTTCGTCAGATTCATCAGAAGAGTACGTTCGTGGAATATGCTTCGTTATGACAAGTAGAGATTTGGGTTTGTCGTCTGGTTTCGAAATCGGTTCTACAGCCCTAGCACCTTTGTTTTCTGGTTTTACAGCCAATGGAACCAAGGGCACACCTGGTTTGACATCAGCCATTTTAGGTTGGTCGAATTCTTCGTCAGATTCATCAGAAGAGTACGTTCGTGGAATATGCTTCGTTATGACAAGTAGAGATTTGGGTTTGTCGTCTGGTTTCGAAATCGGTTCTACAGCCCTAGCACCTTTGTTTTCTGGTTTTACAGCCAATGGAACCAAGGGCACACCTGGTTTGACATCAGCCATTTTAGGTTGGTCGAATTCTTCGTCAGATTCATTAGAAGAATACGTTTGTTGAATAGGCTTCGTTATGTCAAGTAGAGATTTGGGTTTGTCGTCTGGTTTCGAAATCGGTCCTACAACCTTAGTACCTTTGTCTTCTGATTTGGCAGCCAATGGAACCAAGGGCACACCTGGTTTGACATCAGCCATTTTAGGTTGGTCGAATTCTTCGTCAGATTCATTAGAAGAATACGTTTGTTGAATAGGCTTCGTTATGTCAAGTAGAGATTTGGGTTTGTCGTCTGGTTTCGAAATCGGTCCTACAACCTTAGTACCTTTGTCTTCTGATTTGGCAGCCAATGGAACCAAGGGCATACCTGGTTTGACATCAGCCATTTTAGGTTGGTCGAATTCCTCGTCAGATTCATCAGAAGAGTACGTTTGTTGAATAGGCTTCGTTACGTCTAGTGGAGATTCGTGTTTGTCATCTGGTTTCGAAATCGGTTCTACAGCCTTAGCACCTTTGTCTTCTGGTTTGGCAGCCAATGGAACCAAAGGCACACCTGGTTTGACATCAGCCATTTTAGGTTGGTCGAATTCTTCGTCAGATTCATCAGAGGAGTATGTTTGTTGAATCGGTTCTTCTGCCTTAGCACCTTTGTCTTCTGGTTTGGCAGCCAATGGAACCAAGGGCACACCTAGATTGACATCAGCCATTTTAGGTTTGTCGAAATCTTCGTCAGATTCATCAGAAGAGTACGTTTGTGGAATAGGCTTCGTTGTGTCAATTGGAGATTTGGGTTTGTCGCCCGGTTTCGAAATCGGCCCTTCAGGCTGAGCACCTTTGTCTTCTGGTTTGGCAGCTAATGGGACCATGGGCACACCTGGTTTGATATCAGCCATTTTAGGTTTGTCTAACTCTTCGTCAGATTCATCAGAATAGTACGTTTGTGGAATAGGCTTCGTTACGTCAAGTGGAGATTTGGGTTTTTCGTCTGGTTTTGAAATCAGTTCTATAGGCTTAACACCTTTGTCTTCTGGTTTGGCGGCTAATGGAACCAAGGGCATACCTGGTTTGATATCAGCCATTTTAGGTTTGTCGAATTGTAGGTCAGATTCATCAGAAGAGTACGTATGTGGAATATGTTTCGTAACGTCAAGTGGAGATTTGGGTTTGTCGTCCGGCTTCGAAATCGGCCCTTCAGGCTTAGCACCTTTGTCTTCTGGTTTGGCGGCTAATGGAACCAAGGGCATACCTGGTTTGATAACAGCCATTTTATGTTGGTCGAATTCTACGTCAGATTCATCAGAAGAGTATGTTTGTGGAATAGGCTTCGTTACGTCAA